CTATCTCACTATATGTAACCAATTTTCAATGACTAAAGTACCCTTATATTTCTCATTATATAACAGTAAAGAGAATGGTAGATATCAATTAATAATTAGAATTTGACATCTTCATACATTACCTAAGTAGACTCTCATTTTAATTTTGCGCACATATCCTTAATTTTGAGATTCAGATCCATAATCTCCCGCTAGAAAGATCCAAATCCATGTCGTACCAAGATATTAATCAATGAAAAATTAAAATCTAAACTAACACCCACAATTAACATATGTTCTTTTAGCGAAAACTGTAAATGAGAAATTTTTTGTACTGATCACTGATCCCGTGGGTCACACGGGTAGGGCCCTGCGATCAAGAGTGGAGATGGACCGTTCTAGTGGACCCGGGTTTGAGATCAAAATCTTCATAGTGAGGAAGAGAAAAAACTCAAACATTAAGTTCAAAAATGAGGTTGGAACCATTCGGTTTCATAGATGTGACTGCTAGTTGCATCCGTCTCGACTTTTCCGTCCTCCATGCTGTAGCTCTTCTTCTTCTCATCTATGTAATCTGTGAAATAGACGTGGTTTGGCTTGATCCCGGGAAGGCAAGACTCGGTATTGAACTCCACCGAGAAGGAAGGGTTGTCTTTCAAGAAGAGAGACGCGTTCCCCATGCTCTTGATCTCTTCTTGAGTTCCCTTCTCCAAATCAACTTCGAAAACTGGGATCTTTTTCACGGGCTCATCCCCTTCGCCCCATATCGTCCAAGCTGCCAGCAATGAGCCCGAACATTCAACGAGCCCGAACATTCAATGAGGTACGGATCACCTTCAACATAATTCAGCCCTAGAACTAGTCACAGTTCCATGCGACGCTTTCTCTCGTTAAGAGTCATTATTTGACTTTGCACATCCAAGGCTACAAATAGCCCATCGTAATAAATCAGTTGAAGGACCGTGAGCCGATGCAGATGCGTCGCAAGACTCACTACCGTCAACGCATCTTCTCCTGATATGTGAAAGGCAAACCCTGGTGATCTGGTACAAGAAATCATGACTGTGTAGCTCCTGGACAAAGAAGGGCTTGAGGACAACGCCACCATTTTGATCCCACGAGGGCCGCACCGGACCCTCTCCGGCCTGTCGAGTTTCGCACTGAGACGTGACTCATGGTGAAGCTTCTCCAAGGCGGGGACTTCGACGCGGACGGGTGAAAGCGGGTTGAAGATACGGTACTCACGGCCTGTGTTTAACATGAGTATCCATCCCGGTGGAGACAAGGTCTCGGCAAGAGATCCTGGTAACCGCACTGGGTAAATTCTCCGTGTAGAGAGGTTGGAGAATTCAGCTATATAGTGGTACCTATAAGGACATGTTTAGCAAATTGTCAAATAGTAACTGATTCTGTTTTTTTGTTCCCAGAATCAGTTTGGGAACAAAAATCCGTTTGTTAAATTTTTTATGCCCAGGCACAATTTTGCAAAAAATTGTGCCCAGAATCAGTTTTGGAACAGAATCAAGAATAAAAAAAAAAGTAGCTTCTTGATTCTGGAATAATTTTTCCGGAACTGATTCTTCTTGGTTTTTTTTTTTTTTTTGGTTTGTTGTTGTTTTTCGGCCCCTCCACCAGCTGGCCGCCGGCCGTCGAGGGCGGCTCGAGGCCGCGAAGGCAAGGCCTCGCCCAGCCAAGGCGAGGCCGACCTCGCCGTCGCCACCCAGGTCCGTCGCCTGGGTGGCGACGGCGAGGCCGGCGGTGAGGGTCGCGACGCCCTCGCCAGCCCTGGCCTATGGCCAGTCGCCGGCGGCCGGCCATGGCCAAGAAAGGAAGGGGAAAGAAAGAAAAAAAAAAGAGAAAAAGAAAGAAATATTAAAAAATTCAAAAAATTATTAAAATATTATTAATAAAAAGAAATTTTGTGTAGTTACTAAACACATTTATGTTCTTTTTCTATTCTAAGAACAGAAATTTTGGGTAGTTACCAAATGCCTTCAAATGCTTAAAAATTGTTTCCGGGCACAGAATAAAAAAGAATCATTTCTACCCAGAATCTGATTCTAGGCACAGAATGGTTGCCATGCGCAGCCTAAGTCACGAGCCACAAGGCTTCCGACTTCGGCTTGTATGTCTCTTTGCCGGTAGCGGACCGCCATGAGGTGCACACCCCTCCAAAAGCTATATAGTCTTCTATGGCTAGTCGACAAGCGATGAGTTCTAAGATCTCTTGTGGGATTTCTTCCCAATTCGCCATTTCTTTGTTGCAGATTGAATGATCAATTTGGCTGGCGTTCAACTCTTATGTGAGGAGAGACAACTTTTGGGGATTCAGTTGGTGTAAGATTACCCCAAACTCCCTCTTTCAACACGTTATTTCACAAATCTTATCGCTTCTTTTAAACTTCTTGGATGAAAGATACAGTTCCCTCTTGGTTTGATGCTTTAAGTTTTAAATCTTTCTGTAACATACATCAAATCTGAAAGATAGTTTCTTTTTCAAACTTCTATGAATAAAATCCATAAAAAGGACCTTACCAAAAAAAAAAAAAATCCATAAAAGGACCTGTATGTATTATTTAATTGAGTGATAACCACACCATAGTAAACTATCCGAGAAATTGTAATTTGAAAGTAAATTGACTTTAAACACTTGAATCATAAAATCTTACATATATAATACTTTTTAAATTTAAATTCAGACCTTCATCATGTGTTTGATGAGTTAAATCCTTGTTACCTTTTAAAAGAGTTCGGGATTATTTTCCTAAATAGACAAAACTTCAAATCTATTTCTTTCCCGAACATATCTATTTTTCTTATATTTCTTCCCATGTCCAAAGCGTATGCTCTTTTCCTACGAAATATCTAAGTAAACAAAAGCGACACTTTGAATTAAGTAGATCTCTATCAAAATAAGACAAAGGGCAGAAAAAGCGACGAGCCTTTACTGGATCATGACACCTGTTGCAGCCGGGCTATAGACATTATCCTTTGGTTACATGATTTTATTTAAGACTGCATTTGATCATTCAAATTCGAATTGGGATGGGATTGGATAAAGTGACATTTGAGTTCCTTCAAATATTCTCGGATTGTAAAAATATTCCATCATATGTTTAGTGCAACTTAAGATAAGATTTGAAATCTTTGAAAAAAATCTTCGAAAATCCGCGACCTAAAACATGATTAAAAATCTTCGAAAATCCTTCTCGTTTGAAAATCTTTGAAAATTTAATTTCCAATTGGCTCCTGCACGAGGATCAAACCCTCAGCCGACACGGGTCGAAGACTCTTAACAGACACAAGTTCGTGGAATTCCACAATGCGCATATGTAACAATAACGGAGCCGCATCACCTCTTATATTATACCTCACCATCGATTGCACCAGTAATAGACATCTACACAACAACTTTGATTATAAGTCAACACTTATCGATACCTGAATTCGATACATCTTATACTCCAATTGCATATATCATATAATCGGGGGCAGCTAATAGAATGAGCCATCTACTCCTTTTACCGAACCATCCCAATAGCCTGCGACTTCAATCACTCTTCAACCCAGAAGACGCAATATCTTTCCAAGTCAAAATACATATTTATGATTAAACGTAATAACATTGAAACTTAAAAGTGAATTAGAAGACCCAATCACTAAAAAATCTTAGATTTCGCGGAATTTGTAATGTCTCATGCACTCTCGGATGCTTACATGACAAGAAATGTCCTCTTCAGGAGCAAGGCCAATTCGTGGTTGTCACTGTCATGTGATTCAATGTGGATTCCCCAGAATGACATTGCATATGTGAATAGGACTTCATTGCAGCAACATGTTGCTCAACCTTGTAAAACAATTTCGAAACGAAATACAACCTCAGAACTTGCTTCAAAACACTGAAAAACTTACATTGGAAATTACTAGCAACAGATCAGTTTGGGCTATAGTCAAAAGTCTAACTAGAGAAAGAGACTGAATTTTTCGTTTCTTTTTTTATGTAGCCTTAGTGAATGTCCGCGCTTGACTGCAGATGATTCCACAAAGAATAAACAAATCAAGAAAGTTATAGGTTAGCCTTGACCGAATTACATGAGGAATTGATGAACAGAAAACTTCAAGTTAGTGGGGATAATGGAAGAGCGGAGAAAGTGAGAAAACATAAAAAAAACGGCCACAATATTTTCCAATTCGTTAAAGTGAAATTTTCTAACACAGAATTTTTTATGGCCAATATTTTTTAACTGAAATTACAGTTTATATTTTATATTAAAAATACTCGATATGATTTAAAGATTTTATTAATGAAGAGATTAAAATGATATATCTTATTTTAAATACACTTTTTGATATTTATGTTGTCCTACAAAATATTTTTAACTTGACTATTATAAGCACAGATGATACTGAATAATTAAATTATACCAATTCAATACATATGCCACAATTAATACTTTAGTATTATATTATTAAAGCCATATATATTTTAATATATGTCATTCATATTCTCAGTGTGGATATTGAAAGAGATTGGAAACATTGAATAAAACTCGAATTATTCAAAATAGAAATTGCAATATATTTGCTCTCAAGGAAAACAAGTTTCTTATTAAAATGTTATGTATTGTTTTTTTAATGAAAAGTATTAAATATTTAAGAAGACATGTTTAAGTGTTAAAAGTCGATTTACCTTTAAATTATAATTTCATGCATCGTTTACTATGGTACAGCTATAATATAACTTATATAATATGTACGAGTTTTCTGTGAGATGTTATTCGTAAAAGCTTGAATACGAAACTAACTTTTAGATTTTCATTATTCTATAGAAAGATTTAAATCTTAAACTATCATAACCAAGACCGTAGTGTATCTTGCCAGCCACCACAAGGGAATACTCATAAAAGATAAAGAAAAGTAGTGATAACATTTGCGAATCAATTTGTTGAAACAAACTAAATCCCCAAAGATTTCCTCTTTCACATAGGGAAGGACCAGTCAAATTGATCATTCAATCTACGATGGCGAGTTGGGAAGAACTCCCACAAGAGATCCTAGAACTCATCGCTCGACGGCTAGACATAGAAGAATTTTTAGCTTTTGGAGGGGTGTGCACCTCATGGCGGTCTGCTGCCACCAACGACAAGTACAATGCGAAGTCGAAAGCCCCGTGGATCATGACTTATGTGTGCAGGCAAATAGCTGAGTTCTCCAGACCCTCTACAGGGAGAATTTACCCGATGCGGGTGCCGGGATCTGATGCCCAAACCTTGTCTGTACCAGGATGGATACTCGCGTTACGGGGGGACAGTGACTACCGTATCTTCAATCCGCTTTCACGCGTCAGCATCGAACTCCCCGCCTTGGAGAAGCTTCACCACGAGTCACGCGTTAGTGAGGAACTCGACAGGCTGAAGAGGCCCCGGCACGGCCCCCCTATGATCAGCATGATGGCGTTGTCCTCAAGCCCTTCTTTGTCCAGGAGCTACACGGTCATGATCTCTTGTATCACATCACCAGGGCTTGCCTTTCACAGATCAGGAGAAGATGCGTGGACGGTAGTGAGTCTTGCGACCGACCTGCGTCGGTTCACCGTCCTTGGACTGATTTATTACGATGGGCTATTTGTGGCTGTGGATGCACATGGCCAAATATTGACTCTTAACGAGAGAAAGCATCGCATGGAATTGCGACTAGTTCTAGGGCTGAGTTATGTTGATGGTGATCCATATCTCGTCGAATGTTTGGGCTCATTGCTGGTGGCTTGGATGATATGGGGCGAAGGGGATGAACCCGTGAAAAAGATCCGAGTTTTCGAAGTTGATTTGGAGAAGGGAACTGAGGAAGAGGTCAAGAGCCTGGGAAATGCGTCTCTCTTCTTGAATAACTACTCTTGGTTCTCGGTGGAGTTCAAGCCAAAGTCTTGCCTTCCCGGGATCAAGCCAAACCACATCTATTTCACAGATTACACAGATAGGAAGAAGAAGAGTTACAGCATGAACGACGGAAAGGTTGAGACATACTTCGAGTCTTGCCTTCCCGGGATCAAGCCAAACCGCATCTGTATCTCGAAGTACGAAGATGAGAAGATGAAGAGTTACTACATGGAGGACGAAAAACTCAAGACATATTTTGATGCAACTAGCAGTCACTTCAACGAAGCCGAATGGTTCCAACCTGATTTTTAAACTTAATGTTTGAATTTATTCTCTTCCTCAATATGAAGATTTTATGGTCAAATCATCTCCACCCTTGATCGCAAGGGCCCTACATGTGTGACCCCTGGGATCAACTCTCTCATTTAGCGATTTTGCTGACAGAACATATGTTAGTAGTGAGTGTTAGTTTAGATTTTAATTTTTTTATGGACTAATTTCTTGGCACGACATGGATTTGGATGTTTTTAGCAGGAGATTATGAATATAAATCTCAAAATTAAGGATATGTGCACAAGATTAAAATGATAGATTAGTTAGGTATTCGTCTAAAAATGTCAAATTGTAGTCATTAATTGATATCTACCATTCTCTTTACTTTTATATAGTGAGATGATATAAGGGTACTTTTTTCTCTTTCTTAATACGAAGATTTTGAGGAGTCTTTGGAGCAGGCCCATCGTCCTTATAAGATATATTCATGGCTAACTTTGCTTTAATTGCTTTAACATATGAATTGTAAGAAAAGGTCTTTAGCGGCACCTTTGTACTTGCAATTATTCTAACGACGGGGAATTCTAAGATGCACCAAAGCCTACTATGCTTCGGCAACTTTAGGTACATTTGTATCACTGATTTACCCGTGTGGTGTGGTAACTACGTGTTTAGATTTTGATCTTTGCTATTTTAAGCAGGAAAAACGAATATGAATTCAATAATTAAGGATGTCCTCGTCAAAATTAAATTAGGAAATTTGTTAGGTAATCACCTATGGATATCATAATTTAATCATAAATAATACGTAATGTCCTCTTTACTTATTTATAGTGAGATGAGATAAGGGTATTTTGGTCATCTAGAAATTGGTTATATATAGTAGAGATAGAGACAAATAACCATAAATTAAGAGAACTTAGCATCTTCATCTTATTTTTGCAATTAATTCTAGAAGAAAATGTCAAATATTCTTTGAACATAGATAATTGGACAGCACGGAATGATAGTGAGAATCCTTGAATATCTAACTTGGTGTTTGGTTGATTTAAATCGCCATTTGTAATTCAGAGGCAAAACTAAAAGGACCTAACTACGTTTCCAAATCACCATGATGAAAGGCCGAATTGAATTTTGTTTAGCATTCTTATCTTGTATCGTAATCCATGACGTTTTATGTTCTTAATTAATTTACTATGGCTAATGCAAATATTATTTGCTTAGGATACCCAGTGATATCCCACACAATTAGTTGGAGTTAAGATTTCATATTGAAACTGAAAATAGATTACCAGGTTCAAATCTAACTTCGAGTATTTAGACCGAACAATTGAACTGACTGGGTTGGCATTAATAAAATTACGCTTGTGCCCCTTGTTGAGCCAAGACAATGGTGGCCGGTGGGATAGATATGTGCCTGTAGTCATCATTTGATATGATAAACTTGCATACGTGCATGAACTTAGAGTCAAACTGAATTAATTTTTATGTTTACCTCATATTTATTTTAAATCTCGACACGTGTATTTCACTTTTTTTTAATTTGAAACATTACAAACATGCAACTGTTAACCTATTAACATGAATTTTATTTTTACATTTCCTAAAGCTTAAATAAAGTGACTTTTTAATTTGTTTTCATTTATATTTTCATATGGGTATCCAAACCATCGATTCAATGAAATCCCAAGATATACATGGATATACGCGAATCCATGACACCTTATACTCAAGTAAGGCGCCACTTCTAGGTTGATGACCACGCCTACGAGGATTATTTTCTGTGAGATAGACTGTGATTTAAATATAGAATCTGCTGCATCCAAATTAAATGCTTAACCATGCAGCTAAGTTTTTGGGAGATAATTTCCTTGATTTTGCTTTGTGTAATTGAATGTGATGCTTATGATATCATCAGTGAAGGGCCCACACTTATAGTCGTGAGAAAAAAAAATCAAGGGTTGCTCTGGCTGGTCAAAGCAATGGAAAGCAAAAAAATATTGGGAAAACAAATGCTGACTAGGCTTCATTTGTTTGCTAGGAAATGTACTTTAAAAAAAATATTTTTTCGTCCTTTTTTTCAGTATTCGGTGCTGAAATTTGTTGAATATGGAAAATATCTTCCATGAAATGGAAAATCCCCATTAAAAAGTAAGGAAAATGACTTTCTACGTTCGAAAATGGAAATCAATTTTTGAACTATCCTTGGCACACCATTGTTCACCACCGTCTATCTTCTCTGTAACCAAAAAACACACACCACCACCGTCGTGCGAGTGATGTTTCACTACAATAGTTCAATTAATAATACATGTGGAACCTCGAAATGACCCTGGAACTATAACAGCAAAGGTTCTAGGTTGCAGGGTATGCAGAGTAAGATCTAGATTTCAAAAAATAAGGAACGTGTTCCAATGGGTAAGTTCCAAGTTCCAGGTAGAACCTGTATAGAACCTGAAACCACTCACCTCTAATATTAAATAGGTTTATTACATGATATGGCAGATTTCTGATGGGTGCTTAAATGAACCTACTAACTTAAATAATCACTTATTGTTTGCCACATCATTAAATAAACCATATAGTACATAAGTCTTAGTTTCTTTAGCATTACTCATTCTCCATAACCATTGAATAAAGATCTGACAAAATGTGGTCCATCTATGAGAGGAGTGCACTATCACGTTCTCTTCACGAAACTAACAATAACTAGTCGTGAAAAACTATCATGAGAGAAAGATATATTCCACTGGGCATTACTCAGCGGTGACAGAATCACAATTACAAATCATCCAAAATTCAATCGCCCAAGAGTTTGATTTCAGCTTCACTTCAGTTGGAGCCATGAATTTGACAGAGTAGAACTGTACAATTGAGATGGGAAAGATAAGCAAGATGTATGAAAACACATCTCAAAGCATCACCATTGCACAACTTCCGTCAAGGCAATCACAAAGTGAACAGCAGAATGAATACTTGTCCAGAGTGTCACGCCTCGAACCCCGACGGGCTCGCGACACCCCTTCCACGAGGTCATATTGATCGCGACGTCCCAGGACGTGTCGCCGACCCCAAACGAATCACCCAAAGTCGAACGTAGGCGGAAGCGAAATTTAAATAACCCAGACAATTAATAATGACAATGGGGTAGGACAAACGCAATTCAATAAACATATAACATTAGCTTGAAAATCCAAGTATTCATACATTAAGCCTCTAGAGTTAAAATCCACCTTCGTCATAAAAAAGGAACAGGTGGCCGGGTAGACTACTGACTGCCAAAAAGGAACTCTACCAAAAAGGTTTCCAGGCCCAACTCCTCAACATCCCTACGACGCTCAATCCAAATCGGACCCTGAGGGCTCTGACTTTGAGTCCGAGTCGATCTTGATCTCCTCCTCCTCCTCCTCCTTCTCCTCCTCCTCCTCATGCTCGGGCACCATGGGCTCCTCTTCGGGCTCGGGCTCGGGCTCGGGCTTCAGTACGGGCTCGGGCTCGGGCTCTGGAACGGGTGCCAGTCCTGGACCAGGGTTCTCCGGTGGATTGTCGGGATTTGACACCTCGCCATCGAGAGTAAACTTGTCCCAGGGCTCCCAATTTACCGCACCCTCGTTGGCATGCTGCAACCCCTCAAAACCTCGGATTGGCCCAGAATTCACCAACCCGACCCGATGGGACCAAGCCAAATAAGTATGGCGTTCCAACTCCTCTAGTCCCACATCTACCCAAACAGTGGTACGATGCCTAATGTATGTCTCATCCAGGTTCAGTCCCAGGTACTCATTCTCCTCATGCACTGTATGCATGGGAACCCCAAAACGCCTAGGCGGCGACATAATCAAGGTCGGGGATCTGAAAGAAATAATTGCACTACAGTAATGAGAATAAATCTCAATAAGCAGACAACCTATACTGTCACGCCCCGTACCCCACGAAGCGGGAGCATCCCACCTTCGGTCGATAAATTGCGACGTCCCAGGAAGCGTCGCCGACCCACGCCCATACAGAGATCAAGCACAAGCGGAAGTATAAAATAAACAAACCCAGACAATTACAATATGAGCCAAGGATAGCCATCCAATAAACAAGATTCAACGCAGAAAATATGTACATACTTATATTACTATTTTAAAACTCTTTTTACGTGTTCACGACAACCAAAAGGAAACACCAACAGCTGGAATAACCCAAACAGCCACTTCTCCGTTTGCTCCATCCCTACCGGGGTGCATGCTCGACTTATTGCTGGATAAAAGGCGGTATTCCCAAAAGAGGTGGTGACCTCGGCATCCTACTGGCAGAGTCGAAAAGTTTCGGTTTACACAACCGTGAGACGAATCTCGATGAGTTCAACCCCTAAACCTAGGCTAGGCTAGCATGCAATCTCCTGACCGGAAACAAACATTTAAAATCATAACACAACCATAATCATACAATTCTCGACCTACACGGGTTAGATAGTTCAATATGTAATAATCACGGGACATACGTGGCACACATTATCACACGTACGCCAATCACATGCTCATACACCGAGTCTCACACACTCGCATGCCATTCAATGCATGTTTATGCATGCAAATGTCATTGACATGTCATGCACATTTCTTTGGCCCCTGGCCCACACCGGCACACTTGCCCAATTAATTATTATTACGACTCGAGTCATCAATTTTTCACGGCCCGGTGCGTCTAGCACGCTTCAAAGTGCATGAGGCGCGGCATCCGATCTCGGCCCGGTGTCTCTAGCTTTGCTTCAAAGTGCATGAGGCGCAACATGTTCTCCTTGCGAACCAGAGCACGCTTCCAAAGTGCATGAGGATGGTCGCCTTCCGGACGTACCGGGCATCGTCTGCTTCAAAGTGCATGAGGACCGTATCGACCCGAAGGTCCTTAGGTGATCACACGGCTCATTATTATCTCGAACCCCGTACAACGCCTGGGGTATTTTAGGTGATCACATGCTCATGGCGGACACGCATTCTCGCACAATTTTCATCACATGCCTCACTCTTGGCATACGCAATGCGTGTCCATGT